CTCCAGAACTGAAGGTATTTGCTCTCCAGAGGCATCCAGCAGCCAAACTGGTGCCAGGTTGTGCTGTTGGTCTTCAAAGGCTGATCCCCACTGAAGAGCCTGGCATCTCTCCGTGTGTGATGTCCTTGGTGTGTGATGGATCAGCAGAAAGCAGTGCTTGCTTAGGATCCCTAAGAAAATACAGAAGAGGAATTAATGTCAAGGAACTGTCAGTAAAATGCATGAGTAGCTTCTTCAGCATGGCAGAGTGCAGGCAGAAAAGTAGGTGAGTTCAGGCTTCTCATAGACATATTTCCATCATCTAAATATCTGAGTGAAATGAGTACTAGGGTATAGGAAAATCAGCATTTTGTTAATTTTTCAAAGAAAGAGTGGAAAAGAGATATGGGTGAATTTTGGGGTGGGGAAAATCATTCAATTTCACTCAGTCTGAAATTGCTAGGAGTGGTTTCCATCCCTTTCAGCAACAGCATATCTCAGTACACAAATAAAAACAAGAAAACCAAAACTAATACATGTTTTTGAAAGAATCTGTACAAACACATCAACAGTATGAATGAAAATGTATTGAAAGTGGCTTCAAAAGCAGCTCAAAGTAAGCTATGAGAAAACTTCAAAGGAAGAAAGCCTTTCTGTGTGACAGAATTGAAGAGAAAAAAAAAACCACCAAGGCAACTCAATAACACTGTAAATGGTGGAGACAGATAGACCTCTACTTAATCTTGGTGCAGCTTGGAAGCAGTCAAGGAAGCTGTTGCACACAGTCTGTGAGAAGTTGGAACTTAGGCCAGTGTATCTGGACTATGCAAAGACTGCAGTGAAAGTCAGGCATCACTTAGAAAATGCAATTATCCTGTGTGGCTACCGAAATGAGCATTAGCTGAGAGGCTGGAGCACAGGGACGCTGGCAGGGAGAAGGGCTTGTGGCAAGGCAGACAAGGCCACCTGTGCCCAGAGAAGGAATGGCTGTGTCCCTCAGGATGCAGCACTGGCTTTGATTGACTCCTCATGCCATCAGATCATCAAAGGTTACCACACCACTGCTGGGACAAGCTGTAGCAAGGGAATGGAAAATGTCAGAGGTCATCATGGTATTTTTCCTTAGGTGGTAGCAGGGACCACAAGCCATAGCACCTAATCCAAGCTCTCAAACATCAAAACCCTGTGAAACTAAGACAGTGCAAGACAATGAAAACTTTTCCCAGAGGCTGATGGGCACCCTCAGTGCCACCAGGCAATGACATTTGAATTTAGTCAACATTCCCAGGACTGGGGCCAGTGCCCTTGTGAATGCAGGGTGGAGACAGGCTGGATTGTCCACTGCAAGGTGCACATCTTTCTCAAGCCACTGCTGCTGATGGCACAGTGAAACCAATCTCGTGCTTATAATATGTAGAAGTGATGACATTTCTGGAGTTAAATTACCTGCCAGGACAACTTGGGGGTAGTACAATATGAGCACCCAACATAAAAACAAATCCATACTGTGGATTTGTGCTCATCAGGACTTAGCTCAAGGCTAAGTCCTGATCCTATCAGCTAGATGTTTTCTTTAGACCTGTCTTTTAATACTTCAAACTATAAAACAAACTCTCCTAACAACAAAGACACTCACAGTCCTCATCTGAAGCCCAACATCACTACTGACTAATAAACAGATTAAAAAAGAGCAATGCAGATGCAACAGATATTAGTCCAGTCGTGTAATGTGCAGGCAGTCAAGAGGGCCAGAAGGATATATCCTGATTGCACAAGTAAACCTAAGATTTTTTGTTGTAGTCAGTCATTTTAAACCCAGTACCTTGCTAGGATCTCTGGGGCCTGGAAAGCATGGAGGAGATCCAGAGAAGCTCGGGAGCATTGGCCCTTACATTAGCACTGTCTGGGGCATGGTTATGTGGTTCCCTTCTCTCTCTCCCTTCACATTCCCTGTCACAAGAGGGTGATCTTCACCCCTGGGAATAATAACAGGTTTGACTCCCCTGGGCCTGGCACATTTCCACCATGAGGTTACCCTGTGCAGGGGTATTTACTGCCCATGTTGGCAGCTTCAAATCTATTGCTTGATTGCTGAGCCTTGCCTCCCACAGTGGAAACCCAGCCTGTTTGAAACCCTCCTTTAAACATATGCTATATTGTTTCAGGTGTCCAAAGTTTTATTTTACTTCTCTAGTAAATATCTTCCAGCTCCTAAATGAGAACTCTGGGAAAACTGCTCCCACAATGCAACTTAAAAATCACCCTGCAGAGACCTTACGTTCCTCAGCTTAAATCCAGCCTTCAGTGTGTCTTGAGTTATGAGGCTGTCCAGACCACTAATAGAGGAGCAGGGGAATTTACACCGAAAGGAATAAACAAGCCAACAATAAAAATAACCATTTATCTCTTCTTCCTCCCCAGTGTCTTACTCAAAAGGTCACTGTGTTCTTTCATGGAAGCAAAGCTCTATAATGTGAGTTTAGGCACTTTAGGCTAAACCCCAGAGTACTCACTTTTCCCCAAGTAACTTTGGTGGATTTTTAGTTCGATTTTTTTTCCTTGGATAAGGTCTAAGAAATAACCAGGTTCTCCGGAGCAGAGCAGGTAGTCAGGTCAGTGGAGCACATGCTGAGGGCTCCCCTGTTGACCTGGGGTGGCTCATGGCATAGTGCCAGCCTCACTTCCCTCCTCTTCTTCAGAAGAGGTTTGCCTGCAATAGCCTCAGCTCAGTGGACTAAAAATGCAGGTTGCAGGAAGGTACATCTAGTTCCCTGCAATCTTACACAAGGGCTGAACAGGCAGGCAGGTTTCCCCTGCACAGAAAGCAGCTGGCAGTGCCCAGTGGCCAGTTTAGGAAAGCAAACCTCTGCCCATGTCATCATGGCAGCTTGTTTTGCCAAGCAGAAGGTGTAACACCATCTAAAAATATGTATAACTGTTTAGGAAGAGCAGGACATGCATTGCTCCCCAAAAAATTTTCTCTTCCAGATCTTCCTGTAGATAACCAACTGCCTTGTAAAGATGCCATTGCATGGGACAGCTACTGCCTTTGCTCTCATTTCAGTGAGATCTGGCCACGAGTTTCTCCCTAAGATTATTCTGCAGACAGGACAAAGCATTTTATAGGGTTCAGTTTGGCTCAGAAGTTGTTTGGGATTGCCTGGAATTTTGGAAAATGCAGATCCTGTAGCTCAGGGTCCCTGGCTGCAGTGACATTGTGCAGGCGTCCTGCTGCCTTCCCAGATTCTGCTGCTAGAAAAAATAATACCCCATGCTTCTCCTGTACTTCCAAATCCTACAGCATGTTTTGTCAATGTCCACCATTGTTTAAAGCCCCTCTGGACTCCTGCTGGGGACATTATTTCCCTCCAAGTTTCATAGGCAGCAGGGGTTTCTTCCTGGTTTTAAAGGGGGCTCCCATGGATCATGAATAACCTGTGATGTTGCTAACACGAGCCTTACCCAGTTGTCCTGTAACACACACAAGAGTTCACATCTGAAAATCCAACTGGATTTCAGTCTGAGACATTTGTGGGCATTTTGAAATGCTCTGAATCCAAGAGAGGAGACTTGGCTGGTCATGCCAAGAAACCACTGTGCACAAAGCAGTTCCAGTATGAGTAGTTCCAATCTGTTTGCTGGAAAATCACGTCTTTCTGAAAGTTTGCTGAACATTTGCTCATTATTAGTCCTCAGAGGCCGTATTTGGTCTGTGGTAGTTTGGGCCAGGCACATGCAGGCATTTCCCCATGGTCAGGCTGAGCTGACTTGTATCAGGGCACCCTGGAGCAAGTCAGAGCAGGCCAAACCCTCTGCAGAGGCATGTGTGTGTCACCATGGCACAGGAGACACATTTAATGTTTATCAGCTTTGCCTGTACCACATCTAACATCTCCTCTTTTCCCTTTTTAAGCACAGAAGATGGGAAAAGGGATTTATTTTATTTAACACCCTAATAAAACAATTTATACAGATAGTTTACAAAACAAGTGGGTGCAATTTATCAGCAAGATGGATACAAAGAAAGAGCCTTCCAGTCCAATGGAGGAAAATATTCACCATAATGAATACACACACAATAGGTACACCACGTATCCACCTCAAACTGATTAATGAACCAAAAAATTTACCCCTTGTAAAAGGGATAAACAAAAAGCTTTTCAGTAACTGTAAGATATTATCTTTTTTTTTTTTTTTTGGCTGCAAAAAGCCTTAATAACAACATCTCTTTCTCTGCCACTCTCAAATACATTGATCTGAAGGATTGGGGCAGATCATAGGGCAAGGGTTTGAGGATTTTACTCCTCCTTTTGCCACTGATTGATTGTGTTAACAACCAAGGCAAGTCAGAATTCTGCTACATTTCATAGTTTCCCTTTTGTAAGTGGGATAATATTTCTGACTAGTTTTTGCAGAGCAGTTGGAGATCTTGGGGAGAAAGCAGATATTTAAATGCCCTATGTTATTATTTTAGGCCCTGATTCAGGAAAACATATATGTTTAAATACTGCTGCTTTAATGGGTTGCGAGCACCTATTTTAGGCTAAGCTCACATTGATGTGGTCTTTCTGAAAAAGCTGCCCTAAAACTTTTAATTATCCCTTTATAAATATCACCAGTTGAAGCTTATTTAAAAGATAATTTCTAAAATACAGGGGGAAAGTAGTGAATTAATGGCAGCTCAGCATATTGAGGCATTACCTTTCGTGCTTTACTCAGATGAAAGACTCAAGCAGGAGTACCCATGCCTTTTTGATTAGATGCATGCAGCAGGCTTTGGGTCCCCTTCAAAGATCCTTGGGCCGTATGGAGCCAGGAGCAGCTCCGCATTGACATCGGGGGAAAAAAAAAAATCAAGCTCTTTTCCTCAGAGCCTGACTTCTTCCCCCAGCCCCCCCCCCTCGTATTTGTATATATTTCGAGAGGAGAGTCAGGCTTAGCTTGTTCACAAACTGCAGTTCCTGGGCGGACCCCACGCACAGCTGGGCTGTAGCGGTGGATCCGCCTTCCCGGCAAGCCGGAGCCGGGAGCCTCGCAAAGAGGGGCTCCGGGCTTGACAGCAGAAAGGCAGGAGACTGGCTGCACCGAGGGAGGATGAGCTGGTCACCGCCGTGAAGCTGGGCTTCTGCTTGCCGGGGGGATCCAGAAATGGGCTACTGCAGGAGACCGGGTCTGCTTTCCTTGCTGCTGCTCTCCTTGTGTGAGTAGAAAAATGTTTCTGGTCAGGCAGTGTTTTAAGCAAGATACTCAGAGAGGTCGTTTATTTTTCCTTCCTCCAGCAAAACAGCTAATCTTTGATTTCTCCCCTGACAGCAATTAGCCAGAGGATTGGAAATAGCAGAGAGTTTAGTTGAATACTCTGCTACGACTGCATGAGCTGCGTATTTCTCCTATGGCGAGGGGCAAGCGATTGCTTGGTGGAAAGTGCTGTGTGCTCGCTTGGAGCAGCTCGCAGATGTCAGTGTTTACAGTGCAAAAATATATATAGGTCAGCATTACTTGTTGGAAGTTTTTATTTTATTGAGGGAGATTAAAAGCAACTGAAGTGCACCGCTGAATGATCTGGCTTCGACAGTGTCCAGATGTGGTGAGGTTTGCAGCTTAGAACTTTTATCAGCCCTGGTTTATGCGCAGAATTAATCGAACTATTAAAGAAGGAAAGAAGTGGGGAGAGGGGGAGGAGAAGTGTCTTTGCAACAACATCTGGTTATTCGGCAAACCTTTCCAGCACTTACGTAAAGATCTCTTTGTAATAAGTGCCCTGTTTCAGTTTTGATAGCACTTCTTCAATACTGTAGATAAAACCCTCCAGCAGCACTTGAAAATGTGCCCATCCGTGGTTTAACTTTTTCTTGTTTATATCTTGATGATTGTTTCATAACAGGGAATGGATTTGTATATAAGTGAGTGTTATATACACATCTCCTAAGTATGTGTGTGTGCCTTTCTGTATATACAGAGTCTGTGTATGTGTATACAGGCATATATCCCTGCAAAGCATATATTTATATATTTGCATGGACACTACTTTTAAAAGTGAACTCTTACAAACACAGACCTGTTGCCCTTGCTATGGAAATTTCAACACAACCAAAATCACTTTGTGCTCAAAATGATGAAGGAGGAGGATTATAATTCCAGTATTTTTTGCATCCAAATGAAATCACTGGGGGCAGGGATCTGTATCTGCATTCACTTTACATGGGTCCCCCTATCTACAAGACCAGGGAATAAAAGAATGGTCAGTAATTTGTGTGTAGGCAAACAAAACCATGGGTACAACTGTTGAAGCAGAGAGGACCAGATGGGGAGATTTACGACATAGTATCTGGTGGATTTTTCAAAGTTACAGAGATCTATAGTATTCACTTCTGTAGATAATACCCTAAAGTGTGGTTTGAAATGTAGCATGGTATACTGGTAACATCCTGCTAACTTAATCACATTTGGAGCAGGAATTACTACAAATTATTATTTAAAGGACAGTCTTGGGTTTTTGGTAAGAAAGAAGACCACTAATTATCCTTCAGAAATACCTAATTTTGGAGTTATTTAACTTATGGTTTCCTTTTTCTGAAAGGCAAGGTTAAAACCTTGAAAGAAGCCAAACCAAAACATATCACCATTACTAAGTTCATCTGAAAGGTTATATGACTGATATGATGACAAAATTTGCCTCTGCACAGGGTAACAAAAATAAGCCGAGGCTTGTTCTCTGTGATTCAGCTCACCAATGATAGATGTTTTCTGGGACTACATCCACTTCCTTTGCATTTAGTGTTAAGATTGACCCTACAGTCATTCTGAGATAGTAAAAGTACCCAAAGAGGCCACTTCACATTGACATTAAAAGAGAAGGGAAGACCTAGGTCCCCAAATTCCCCAAATTCACAGAATATTTACATTCAGCTGTTCTTCAAGCAACAAATCATACCACTCATCAAGCTTCTCTTTAAAGAGTGACAGCGCTGCCTTGGTGGCAGCAGCAAAGTTGCTCCTCTTAGCACAGAGATTTAAGACTTGCCATAGGGAACATGGCACAGAGCACTGAAAATCACCTACTGGATTTACCTAATTCTCCATGGCCAGCCCTACCAAGGCTTCAAAATATCCATCCTAAACTTTTCCTCGGTGGCAGTGCCTGCTGGAGGGCAGCAGTTTTACATGCTTTCTCAGCAGAAGGTGGAGACAGGAGCTGTAGTTTCACCACTGCTGACACAAACCCTCACACAGGTGAGCAGAGAATCCTTCCAGGACAGAGAGCTTACCTGGACCAGGACAAAAAAAAACTAGGATCATTCAGAATTGGAAAACTGTCATACAGGGAGGTGGAGCTGGAGGCTTTCAGGGTCTTTGGGTTGGCCAGGAAAGAGCTGGGAGATGAGCTGGCCATCTACAGCCAGGTCCTGGGAAAACCTTTTCTGGCAGAGGGCTTCCTCTTCTGTGGAACAGAGGTAAAACAGGATGTGCACACTGGAAGCTAAAATGGGGCACAACACAGTAAAGTTGTTCCAGCAGGTAGTTTCTGAGGATTAGGATGTGGTGGGTATGTGTTGCTCAAAGCCTTCAAGATTCCTGAAGGAAGTAGTCTTCCAAGCAAGACTACCTGCTTGAAAGTCTGTAACTTATACAGAAACTACAGATTTGATATCAGGATTACTGTATTGTGCACATGGAAACACTCTGGCCTTAAAAGTAGGAATTAGGAGTTTTCCTGCCCTGTTTTCTATTAATATTGGGAAATTATCCCTTGTGCTCCATCTGTCAGGAACAGGGCTCACATCCAAACAGGCATGGGGCTGAGCTCAGTCTCATCTCACAGAGGGGACAGCAAAGCATCACAGCTCTCTAACCTGTGGAGACTGCCTCAAGGACATGAGCTAAGTGTCACTGGTGTGACAACAGCTCTCAGGGCTGTGAAGAGCCCCAGGAGAGAGTCTTTGTGCATCCAACCTCCAAAAGAGGATATGAAACTTCAAATCTGCCAAGGCACGTAGCACTTACCAAGGGAGACAAGCTATACCCTTGGGCTCTTGGGTATATACCCTCACCTCTTGGGTGAGGTTCCAAAGAAAGAGAAAGAAGATTTTTGAAATTAAGTGAGGTTGCAGGTCTGCTACCCCAAGTCCAGAGCTCCCAGTTCCTGGGGTTTGAGTCTGCTTCCCCATAACTAGGTCTCCTGTTAAAAATGCTGGTCCACTGAAATATTCTGACTTTTTTTCGCCAAGTCTCCTGGGCTCCCTTTGCCATGGTTGATGGCTCTACAGAGAGTGCATTTGAGGGGTTATCTCCTGATAGATGGTGGCTTTCTGATGTTACATTCTCTTTCCTGCTTGCAAAAACTGTTCCCCCAGTGAGCCTCTTCAGCTAAATATATAGAGCATATAGAATTCATAAATCAGGACAGGGAGCTCCAGGGCTGTCAGAAAAGCATCTCTGGCTTTTGATCTTCCCAAGAAATCTCTGACCTATCCCAGGCTCCTCAGGCAGCTTGTTCAAGAAGTTGGCCTCTTATTTCTGAGGTCACCAGAGCTAAAACCAGAGGTTGTAGTGCCACCAAAATGCCAGCCCACTCCTCAGGCTAGGGCTCTATTGGGATTGCAGCCCAACACCAATGCATGCGAAATTTAGGAGCACTGGGTCAAACAGCGGGAGGACGAGGGAAGGAAAAAGACAAAGGAAGAGTCACTCTCCATTTCACAGGCATTTGCAGAAAGGAGCTCTGCAGGTCCAAGGACAAGGCAGAGCAGCAGAGCAAACCTCTCCTCCCAGGCCAAGCAGCACGTGAAGGTGGGCACTGCCCACCCCAGGACACAGGGCTGGTTATGACAGTCTGTGTCATATTGATTTAACACAGCCAAAATAAAGGAAGAAATTACCACCCTCAAAAAGCTCCGAGGGGCTACCAGAGCCCCACATTGGCTCGGTGTAGGTAGCTGAGTGGAGCAGGAACAGGATCCCACTGCCTGAAGGAGGAACTTGTGCATCCTACCATGAGGCTAAATAAGAACAAAGCTGCAGCAAATTCTCCAGTTAGGAAATAAAAATGGAAGACAGAAGAAAAACCCTGACAATGCAGAACTGGAGTGTTCTGCAATGTTGTAAGTGCCATGAGACTCAGCAGGGAAAGTGATGGCTTATTTTCAATTCACCTTTACACACTTCCAAATCTGATGCTACGGTTTCAGTCCTTGGTGTGAATTAGATTAACTGAAGGTCAAGAAGAGTGGCAGTGTACAGCTATGTGAGATGAATGAAAACTGGTATTTCCTCTCCCCTAGCACCTCCAGCTTTGCTCAGACTTGAGACAGGCTAGCATTGGTATAGCTAACCAACAGTAAAGCTTCACTCTGTATTTTAATAGGGGGCTTTGAGGAAAGAAATACTTTCTGAAATATTCGGTACAACTTGAAATTAAAGCACACAACTTTCTAACCAAAAAATCCCAACAACCAACACAAAACTGATGTTTACTGGTATTTTACTGGTGTTACCACTGTTTAATGATGGCCCCAAAGACATTTTTGTGTACTAGTAGTAAATAAGTTCAGCCAGCTGCAATCATGATACTTGTTACTCCCATTAGAGACATAGTTCTGCACAGATGTATCCCACGTATTCACTGAATATGCAGAAAGCAAACACTGGCATTAAAAACAGGTGACTGGGGCCTTTTATTCTGAGAAAGAATTCTGCTCTACTGCCTGTACTCCGCAGCTTTATATTGCTCTGTGATTTGCTCTGTCGAGTTTATTTCCTCAGGACATTGTTTTCCTCTCCCCTTAGTGATAACTCTTTGCAATAACATTTGCTTTCAGCCAGGCTCCACAGTGCTGCAACTTGCCATAAACTAATGAACTCTCCCATAGACTGTCATGTTTTCAAGGAAGTGCAACATCTGATACTTTTATTAAAAAAAACAGTCCCACCAAGGAGACAAAATCAGCAGCTCCCACACACTCTGCTCTTTTCACATCCCGAGTTCAGTGCTGTGTGCCAAGTGAAAGCCTTGCACTGGAAGGGGCCTCCGTGCAGAAGGGAGATAACACCACTGATGGCTGCCTGCCCTATCAAGCCTACATTATGTCCATGCTGGACCCCAACTGTGGGATAACATTTCCTTAGGGATCTTCAGGGGGAAGTGAAGGAGTGGCTGAAAGCTATCTTGGCCCCGCTTACATGCACATCCCTGAATTCAGA